GGCCGGTTCACGAGCAGCTTTAGCATCCTCGATTACACTAGTGGAGTCCAGAAATCCAAAAAAACGTGCACAAGGAAATATGCTTCTCCATGTATGTTAGTTTCGAATCATTTTCAGCATTTGAGAGTTTGCGATAAGTTTGTTGGACAGAGCCATCTTTTGAACTCTGCGAGAATTTCAGGGTATACTAGCTGCGGAAAGGAAACGTTATGAAGAAAAAGGGAAGGATGCTATGATTTACCGCATTGGTATGTACTGTACAACGAGTCTAAGCGTTATCTGTGGACGATTTCTTTGTCACAGGAATTTCTGGCAGTCCGGGAGTCGGCAAGTCTTCTTTCATTGAGGCTTTGGGCAAAGAACTGATCGATGAACGTGGCTTGAAGATTGCAGTACTAACAATTGACCCTACCAGTGCAGTTACAGGAGGTAATTGTGGTTTTGATCAGATGAACTGATCTGACATAATTGATTTTGGCGCAGTTCAGCGATGGGGGGGGGGGGGAGGTGGCATTTTGCACTTTCGCTGCTTCACTAGTTCCGGTTTACAAGTCTCACTCTGGTGAAACTGTGAACTCTTGTGAAGCTGGAGCAAGCTCGTCGAGCCACCATGGTAAAACCTGTCAACTCGAAAAGGCCTTCTAGATAGGTGGACACGTCGATGGGAAGTAGCAAAAGTGCAAAATGTCCCCCCACCGAACTGCCCCTTGATTTTTAACGATGATTTCCTTGATTGCAGGATCTTTGCTGGGTGACTTGACACGAATGCAGGAGCTGTCACGGAACCCCAAGGCTTACATCAGACAGTCACCAACGAGTGGTAAGAGTTGTTCTCGAGAAGGAAAGAACCCATGAAAGAGTTTCAAAAATGGTGCTCTGCTTCTCAGGTTCTTTGGGAGGTGTGACAAGAGGTATCCAAGAGGCGATCATTTTGTGCGAAGGAGCTGGCTATGATGTGGTTATAATTGAAACTGTAGGTAAGTATTTTGATCCACAATCTGTCTGAGCTGGTCGTATAGCACCAAAACGTCAATATTTACAGGTGTTGGACAGTCAGAAGTCGCAGTTGTGGATATGTGTGATATATTCTGCTTATTGCTTTCGCCTGCTCATGGAGATGAGTTACAGGTACACTATTTTTAGAAATATTTCCTAGTGTTCCTTCTGAAAACTATCGTTAAGTTGAGCTTAAGCTGCAAATGATGGGGGTCGGGACGGGGCATTGAAACAACTCCTAGAAAGGCTCGTACAGGGATAATGCCGTTTGGACGCACGTATTTTTGGCACCGAGCTCATTGAAAGGCCCAAATCACCAAATCCGCTGAAAACTTGTATACAGTAATCTAACACCCTGATTACGTATATGACATTCATTTTTAGCGCTGGCGCTAATGGATGACACTACGATTACCTGCGCTCTGCTAAGGGCTGGACCCGGAGGTAATCTAGTGTCCTCTCTTGGCGCCAGCGCCAAATGAGTGTCATATTCGTAATCAGGATGTTAAATTACCCATGACAAGGTTTCAGCGGATTTAGTGATCCTGGCACTTCAAAAATGAGCTCGGTGCCAAAATTTAAAAATGAGCTCGGTGCCAAAATTGCGTGCGTCCAAACGGCATTAGCCCTTGTACAGACGGAACGATTTCCCTCAACGTAATGCCTGAGTGGGACGCCTTGATACCCAGTTCGTGTAAATTACAGTAATCCAACTTTGGTGAATGAGTACATCTGAGCCACGTAAAGGTGTGATTTTCTTTTCTAATTTTTGGAGAGCTGAAAGGCTCTCCAAAAATTAGAAAAGGCCTAGAGCTGAAAGGTGCCAAGAAACGGTCTCAAGCTAGGGGATGACGAGTT